ATCTTCGCGAAATTTTTCTGCCAGCCGTGCAGAATGCACGATGGGAGACACGCGGGAAAATCCGCGTACAGCGGGAACCTAAAGAGAGAACGGTTAATTAACAGAGGCGAAGGTTGCAGGAGAGGGTTTGGTTCGTTCGATTCCGCATGGGATCGTTTTCATAAAACGACACACCCGGATAGCCTAGTTACACGTGGGGCATACGTCTACAGCGAAGACGTAATCAGTTAGTGTACATGAAAGCGTGACCTAAGCCTTCGTTACTGCACGTGCATGCGCCATGAAATTGCATTAGTGATCACTGCATATTGAGGCAGACTGTGTGCATTCTGACCTGTGCACACAGGGACGCGCGACCGTGTACACTTGCACGAATTGTATGAAACCCCAACTAGATATACACGGTGTGCCTACTTTAACGATCTCATCAATTGCCGGCCGGCCAATATGTGCTGAGGCCACCCCATATCGATTTTCACACCCCCTCGCCAAAAATCATCACCGTGCTACGTGAGCTTTACCTGTCCACCCTTCCTTTATTTATTTTTTCCCTCGTTTCTTTTTTGTTTTGTTCGGGTCTCTCTCTCTCTCTCTGTGGTCGCGGTGGTCGACTCTAAATTGGGTTGACGGGTCAAAGAGTGGTAATTAAATTTGTCAGCTGCGTTCTCAGGTTTTTTGCTCACCTGATGAATAGCTTAGGTGTGGTAATTGTTCACGGATGAAAGAATCGCTTCGATTTTTGGTAATGTTGGGATAGTGTTCTGAGGTTTTCAGAATTATTGAATTAAAGTTTGGTCATTTGTAAATTTTCCCTAGAAATAGGGATGACATGTGATAGTATTCGGAGGTTTTGAGAATTATTGAACGAACGTTCGGTAATTTGCAAATTGCTCGAGAAATAGGGATAACAGTTTGGAAAGGTGAATTAAAATTAATCCCCCTAACAAGTGCACGCGGTCTTCGATTATGCACCGCCGATATCCGGTTGTCAAAGACGCTTGAACATCCTTCAGGATGATTCTAATCCGTCGAGAGTCTCTGTCCAATCGTACGAGTATTATGAATTAAAGCCTCGTCTAGACGTTGAGGATAATTGGAAACAGAATCCAGGGAAGCGACACCGGTTACCTCCAGACGAGCCTTAAGACGATCTCGTTCTTCCGTTCTAACGTTTCCTCTGGAATCACTCCCGACTAAAATCCACACGCACGACTATGCCACGCGTGTCGAAACTTTTATTTAAAAATTGAGAATTTTCTTTCGGTAGAAAAATTGCTAAATTTGTGATTTCTCGTATCGTCGAAAATTCGGGACAGTTTCTCGCGTATAATGGGTAATTTATTTATCGAAAATTTGAGAATTAATTCCGTCTTTTTTAATGTAAAAATTGCAGAATTTGAAGTTTCTTTCGGAAGTTTGTTTCGTTTTACGGGTGTTTACCGGGGGTTGAACAATTTCGGAGGGAAACGAGTCGGGGAAGTTGCTTGACAGGGCAGTTCCGTCGAATTTTGACGCCACAGTGACGAGCATGGTGCAGTTTTGCGGGTAATCTGGTGCTTTGGCCCGGCACAGAGTTTAATCCAGGACAATAGAGACCGAGGTACATGCATATTAAATGCATCTATGCGGAATGGAGACACACGCATGGATTAGGAGCAACAACGTGGCTGGGGAAACACGGGTTTCCAGCGAAGGTAGAGAGGAAAAACAGGTGAATCGCGACACAGTTTCTGCAACTGTGATTTATCGTTCCTCCAGTGCATTTCCAGATAACTCTTTTCGTCAGGATTACAATTTTAATCAAATTACAACCGTATAACGCAGCTTTATTTCATACTACGTTCTACCTTCGACGTGATCTCAATGTTCTATTTAAAATATATACGTCTTCTCTGTATTCACAACAAAAGAAGAACAGAGAAAGATCGGGGAATTGGAATTTTCATTCAGCTGCAAAAATTTGGAATTTATTTTGAAGAAATTTAAAAAGGGAGGCTCGTTCCCTTTGTTCCTCAACAGCGAATAATTTCCTCCTCCTCTGGGGTTCCCTTGTCAAAGCGCATAAAAGAAGGTTCGAGGCTCTCGTAAACGCGCGATCTAATTACACGCTCGTAGAAATCTCATGCGCCGTTTTCACACGCCAGTCCTAGTTCGCAAGATTACGTTAATTAGCGTATGCAAAGCCAAATTGCTTCCGCGTCTCGGTCGAGGAGCCGTGCGGAAATTTTCTCGGTAAAGAAATCGTCGCGGAGAGACGCGGCCGATGACTAATTTTCCACGGTCGAGCTGGAAATTAGTCATCGATTTCGGCGAACCAAAGTGGTTTTCCCATTATCTCGTCGGTGTGTCGTTCGTGAGAGATGATATTATCGAGGTGAATCATCAGTAACATTAATATGTTGAACGTGCACGGTGTTATTTATAAAACAGCACACGACGGTCCTTGGAATTAATGGCTTCCCGGACAAAGGAGATTAGCATGACAGAGGTCGTTCCGTGATCGTAGGCCTGTGGCCACCCAAAGTCTGCCGATTTTTCCATCAATCTTCTTCGTTTCTCTCCTTTTTCCCCCCCTCCCTTCCAAGTGAATTTTATTCTACTTTTATTCCGTTCTATTCGTACGATTGTTTTTGGAAAAATAAGGTCGCGATTGATTCGAGATACTTCTCGACCGCCACAACGACGACACAAGGTCGGTAATGTATGCTGTACACGAAAGTTCAAGGCAATTAATTCAGACACCTTTAGACACCCCCTAAAGTTGCTTAATTAAGGTGTCGCGAGATCCACGTCCTTGTCAGAGCTTCTACTCTGTACCTGATTCACCTCGAAGGAGGTTCTCGAGATACACTCGCCTCTCTCTCTCTCTCTCCCGAGATCGACTTATCTCGCTTGCCTCCTTTTTATCCCATTTCCCGGCATTAATATAATACAGCTATTTACCATACCACGGTACATTATACCCAATTATTTCATAAATCACCTCTAACAATAGCAATAGGTAATTTGTACAGATGATTGTACTTATAGGATCGATTATAAGAAAAGAACCAGGTCAGGCCATTTTCCTCCGACGATAATTTGTGCTTGGTTTTAAAGAGAGAGAGAAACCTGGTTACGGTGTTACGAGTAAATGAATTGTGCATTATGTCGTTGGGAAAGTTCCGCGAAAAATGCATTGCATAACCGAGTCGCGATAATTGTGCGGGAAGTAGGGGAGGGCAAGCGAGATGGTTAAGGTGACAATTAGCACGCTGATTAATTTTAATAGATCACACCGCGGGCGACCGTGATGGCTGATAAAGTTTTCAGGAAAAAGAACTTTTACGAGCGCCCGTGAAGCTCGTTACGCCGGCCTGCATTTCGAGGAAATTTACGAAGGCGAGTGTGCGAAATTGTGTGAAATATCTCGTTGAAATTCACGGTGGGAAAATTGACGAACGAAGAATTCCAGATATCGAGATGTTTATTCGCTGAAAACTAGCAAAGCAAGGTAGAAAATTTCGCGCGTCAAAGATCCGGAATTAATTCCAGGATTCTTTTTAGCAGTTCACCGGTGGCAGCGATGATTCTTGGAGTTTTTCATGGTAATACTTTCTTCTGGCCGCGGCGCGAACACGGGAAAGAAGGCTGATTGAGATTTCCACTTTCGAGTTGGGAAAGTTGAGAGGCTGTCAGGTGTTTTCGACGTAAATCATGTTCATTTGGAGGAACTGATTTCAATATCGCAGGCAACTTCATCGGATTCGTGAAGCTTGGTGAACTTTCGTGACCTGATTCTTCGCCGTGATTGAGATATCAATGGAAAATATTGCCTGATAATTTTACGACAGCGTCGAAACCTCCGCCAATGATAGAAATTATTTTTTGCAAAACAGTCGTTCAGCCGTTCACGTTGCCCAAATCTCCGGATAATTCAGCGAGATTCGACCGTCGAGTGGTTGGTATGCATGCCGCAGGAGGTTGCTCGGTCATCCTGTGGTTTCCTTTGTAAAAAGGAACAGGAAGAAGGTGAAGATTTTCAGCTGAAACGATGGATCGAGCACCTTCCTTCTTCCTCTTTCGAACAGGGAAGAAAGGCAGAATCGATAAACAGATAAAACCGAGGCAGAAATTAAAATCAACAGACATGAGAAATGTTTGGCAGTCACTCAAAGCTGTCTGAAGAATCTAAAGTGTTGGAAGTATCCTATTACACTCTTCTTCCTTTAATTTCGAAGAAGATAAACGTTTAAGAAACTTGTACAGTCTATCCAGTCCTTTGAAACAGAATTTGACTCTCTAGTTTATAATCAAAAATTAGCAAGAATTATTCTTCTAACGGTGCATAATTCAGAGCATAAAAGAGCAATTAAGAAGGAATCGATAAATAAATTCTGTTCCAAGTATTGTCTAACCAACGACGATTTAACTCGTCTTACACAGTCACGAGGTTAATGGAACTGGTTTACGTCAGAGATGACATAATACCGTTGTCGGGCGTTGAATAGGCGAGCATAGATGAATTTTAAGAATAGGGCAGAGACAGAGAGTATTGTAATACGAAAAGGTTCAAGTCAAGATCTACATTATCGAGGACACGTGTCACGCATACGAGACTAAACCCTTTCAGCCGTAGATAAGCCGTGGAAGAGCACCCCTTAACGGTGTTCACGTACCGCCATGGGGAAAGACCGTTCCCCCTGTGCACGGGGATAGCGTTATAGTATCAGACAGAACCCTTAGAGCCCGCGTGAAACGAGGGGTCAGACTCGTGGAGACGGTGTTCTATGCATTTTAAAAGGCCACGAATTGCATTTCCTTCGATGATCACGTGCGTGAGACCTACTCGAGTTTCTCTCCTGGACTTATGTCCGTATGACTCGGGGGGATATCTTCGATGAAAGAAATTCATTCACCCTTCTCCTTTACTCGATCTTATTCCATTTTCTACGCGGTTCTCGATATCTTCAGACTAAACGTAACGTGGTTTTTTCCCCTTTGTTTCTGATTGCTTTCAGAAGGAACAGCTCGACGCTGGAGAGATTCCATCTGCAGATCTCCAGGACTGAACTGTACCCGGAGAACTCGAAGTACGTGGATCAGTTGCTGCACGAAATAGCGACGAGACCTATTGTCCACGTTGGTAAGTGTCTTCTACGTGTATATTGTCACGGTAAACCCTCAAAGTACGGGGAAAAAGAGTTCAATGACCTGGTCTATTTTGATAAACCGAAAGGCGGTGAATTTACAGGAGGAAATAAGTGAAAAAATGTAGTGAAATTTTTGCACAGGAAACCTGATTTCTGGATAAATCAACGGTGAAAGATTCGAGTGCACCCGAATTATCTTCTTTTTGCGTCGTTACCTACTCGAAGCTTTTATACGAACAAAATGTTACTCCATATATTTTCCATTTATTTTTTCACGTAAATACACCCTGCTCTCGCTCCGTATTTCCAAGTTTCTCCCCCTCGGTAAATGCAATCGCTGCGGGAGCTACTGTGCGAGCAATAAAAAAACATAAGATTCAGTGGAATAGGGCATCGTTGGTCAGACCCTCTCGATAATAATCGAAATTCTTGAACGCCGGCGGTTCGAGGAGCTCCTTCTCCATCGCGAAGTAATTCACGATCGAACACGCTGTAATATAAATTTTCGAGCGACAGTGCACGCAAATCGTGCCCGGAATTTGTCCTTCGGCGAAATAATGGATGGTAAGCTAGGCAGCCTGTACGTGGACCTTTATTAAATTCTACGTGGCTGAAAATAAATCGACGTTTCTTCCTTTTTTTTCTCCTAGACGATGCAATGTCCTGCATACGAAAATCGATTATGGTAAAAAGAGTAATTTCCTCTGGCAACCGAAACAATCGGTGAATCTAATCTTCGTTTCCTTAACTATCCCGTGAATTATCGTTCTCCTTCTAAATCGATACGATTTCATGAAGATTTCCATAAAAATTCTTCACGCTGGTCACGTTAAAAAATCTAGAAAAAAAAAGTATTACATTTGTCGAGGTAATATCATCGCCTGGGTACCGCAATTACGGCGTATTCGATGGAACGACGGTAGAAAGAGGGAGTGATAGTGACGAGAGAGAGAGAGAGAGAGAGTTGACGAAGCCAACGCAACAAATGAAACGAGCATAGGATGATAAGAGAGATAGAGTGAGAAGGGATGGGGTAGAATAAGGGAGAAGGGGAATTAGACGCGGTGGCATAAAATTAATCTGGAAACGGCTGCGCAATAATCTTCTCTGTTGGAATTAATTTCTCTCCGGCCCATGAAGCCAGACAATTAACCGGTGTTATTGTGACCGTGGCTTTGTGCTTAGTAATTGCTACGACGCGGTTCATTGACTAACAATGCCGCGCGATCGTCCGACCTGCGTGATAAAAAGAGAGGGAGGAAGGATCTATCGGCGTCTCTCTGAGCGTAACATTTTAAAATTAGACCTGGCACGACGTTGCACGCGCAATTTCCGCCTCGATCGTCGTGTCAACTCTTGCTCGATTATTTATACTCACCGCACGAAACTACATACACATTTCTGTCTTATTCTTCTTCTTCTTCGCGGTATCTTCGTCGCTTTTTACCATCAATGACCAATGCAGAATTCTGCTTTTTTGTGTCCCTTTGCCTTGTAATAACTAGTTACGCTCTCGATGTAGATCATTCGTGATAAACTCAATTATATATCGGTTTAATTCATACGTCCGAGCGCGGAACGATCGTCGGAAAATGCATCGAAGTGCATCGAAAATATCCGAGAAGTATTTTGAAAGGAGGACAATTTTTTTCTATATTGAATTTACTTTTATTAACCCTTTAACCTACAACAACGTGGCAGACTAGTGGCAGAAATTCTAGTCAATATGTGACAAAAATAATGATATTAGTATAGTTGGGGCCACGATACAGCGAGGTCGTAAATTAAACTCTCAAGAATCGGCATCGATTGATGTTGCGGCACTCAAGGCCGTGTGTTGCAGTCTGTTTGAGGGGTCCAACAATAAACGAATGGTAGCATATGATTTGGTACTTCAAGTAGAAAATGGTATTTCATTTACAAATGGAAAATATGTTAATATTAAGCTACACAATCTTTTTGCACTTTCTATCTGTATATAACACGAGTAGATAAACTAAGATGCTAAAGACATCAATAAGACCTTTACCTGTAACCGTACTTCCAAAAGCGGCTTCCCCCAGAGGGAGAAACCCTAATTTGTCCTAGCTGCATGCAGTTTTCAGTAAATATATTAGAATCAGTTGACTTTCGCTGGATACAAGAATTCTTTGTACGGTCCTGACCATGGTTTCAAGTACTTATCTGCTCGTATCTCTGTCAATTTTCGGGTCCCGGCAGCTAAAACATGTTTACTTTGACGTCTGACCGATTTTACGACCTCGCTATATCGTGGCCCCGACTATAAGAAAAATTCATTGTAATCCTAACTTTCCTTTTAACTTGTAACACTGACGACAGATTAACGTTTGTTATCTGATACAGTATTAAAACAGTAAGTGGGCTGACGCTTAGATAAATAGTCAGAAGAAAAATCACAGGTTAAAGGGTTAGGAACTGTTTTTTGGACACCCAAGAACGAACTGTTTATCCTATTGTATTTCAGTTTAGAGTGTCTCGACTCTAAGACGAACTCCAGACACGCCTTGCGGTCCTCCAAGTGTCTCTATTTAGGAAAAAGAAAACGGTCGAGACATTTTTCTTCTCAGATCGATAAATATTATTCGGCGTCCTTAGGAATAATCCAACGCCACGAAATGCTAAGAAGAAGAAGACAGAGGCTGTTCCCTTTGTTTTTCCCAATTTCATGAATCACGAAACGTGTGTATAAACGCGAGAAGGCGAGCGAGAAGTTGGATCGAAGATTAAAGCAAACTCGGTTGAGCAACTCTCGTTGCGTCGCGTTCGCGACAAAGTTGGTATTTCTCGGAGGTGTGAAGCCAGTTGGTAGTAGAGAGAGGATCGATGTAATTTCGATAGTATTCGACGAAGGCGACAGTTTGTTAAACAAATCACGAGGCAGCGAGCAACCGGAGGAAGTTAAATCAGCGGCAAGCAGACGCCCGGTCGTTCGTTCGATGCAATTATTAAGCAGTATCGGGCTCTCCCCGCTGAAGGAAATTAGATCGTCGATCAGAAGGGAGTATCGGTACAAAGACGATCCAACCGGTATCCCTCTGACAAAGCAGCCCGATCCAAGTTGCTAAACAATAATTAAATTGCACGAGGAGAGGCTGTGTGCCGCCATTCGATACGCTGAAAGCTGATTTCGATAGGATATAGTCACTATAGGCGGGGATTAGAGGCGTTTATTTCTTATCAATCGTCGATCTACGAAATATATTTCACTTTCGTCCAATTCTTCTTCTTCCTCGTTTCAATAACCGTGGTAAAACTGAGTTAAGAACAATCTTATTCGAGGAGTGTACTGTTATTTCCACATTTCTTCAAAATAGAACTACATCCCTTTCTCGGCGAATCCACTTGTTCCTGGAATATCGAGAGAATTTTAAGGCTGCTGCACAAAATTTCACCAATTATAATCTGTTGCTTATTCAAATGTAGATCCTTCGCTGCATTAGCTTAGATCATTGATTAAGTACTACTTAACGTTCGAACAACACGCTTTTCCAGACTCTCTCTCTTTCTCGCACCTTTTTCCCTCGACCCCTGAACTTTGTTGAAATTCAAGGTGAAATTACCACGCGGTCGAGTTCGAAAATCGATAGACGTCTGCTGGTGTGTGTAGAGTAGAAAGAAATGTAGAGTAGAGTTCGGAGACATTAGCGATCGAAAGATTCCGTGAAATCGTGTCTTTTTTATCGCTTACCTCGAAGTTCTTACGTTCGTTAGGTTGCATAACGTCGTTACAGGTATCTCAATGCCAGTTTTAATTGTCCGATAAACGAGTCTCGTTTCAGTTTACATTAGAGTACTTTTAACGAGTCAATTTTCGAACGCGGTCAATGATAAGTTTGTGTGATAAAGCGGCTAGGTTTATTTCCTTTTTTGCTTTCGAAGACAATCGAATTACGCAGGTGAGTTGGGTTAATTGGAAAGAGATTACGGCGAGTTGTTTTCTCTGTGAGTAGTAGACGGGGGAGAGAGGCGAGCGCGCAAGGTCTCTAAGTAGTTCGAGTCAATAATTTCAGCGACACGACAGCACGAGAACGATTAATTGTCCTGTATGATAAATTGACCGCGGGTAACCCGGACGGCTGGCACCTAAATTAGGCATATATCATTTATGAAATTGACACAGTGGACGATGCACGATCGATACTATACACCGTGCGTCTCTGCCACCGGTTTTTCCCCCGTTTACTCGCGCCGGCTCGTTTCTCTGTTTCCTTCGCGGAAATTTCACGATTGTATCGAACTGTTGCAAGTGTAGAGTTTCAGTTTCACAGAAAAATATTCTTCTTGGCCTTCGATTCTAATTTTTAATTGGAATTTTTGAATGTAGCGTTGCGTTTCGGTAGACGTACTGTTTTGCATCGACACACGAGCAACCGTGCAATTAACCACGGCTTAATCCCACGAACACGGAGAACCTCGATTGCACAGTCAACCCCGAGAAAAAACCACCATCGAGTGAATCGTGTATTCCTGAGCTCGATAATCGAGCTTTTTTCCCCCGCTGAACCACAGGATAAACAGCCTGATTTTACTCGTTTTCTGTTCACAGTCCAGAAGGAGGGCGGCACGCAGCTGAAACTCCAGATAAACTATTCGAACATGCAAGCGCTGTTCAAGCCTATGAGGTGAGTGCAATTAAACTGAATTAAAAAACCATTCGTTTCGATTTTTCTAGAAATTCAAATAGCTACGATGTTTTTGCAGCTAAATGTCGTTCTTTCTTTCTTCGAATTTTTCTTCAGCCTATCTTAATTGAAACACAGAAATACATCAAATTTTCTTCTCCGTACTCGTTTAAAATTCGTCCGAATTTATTCGTAAATAATGGAAAAAATTTCCAGTCGACTTAAAAAATCCCACTGGTTCGTAAGAAACGTCAGGTCGCCTTTCGAATGTAATCTTCTCGACGACAAGGATATTGCAAGGTTTACTTTCAACGTAGAACGAGATATCTCGCGACAAGTGTCGACCGCTCGGAACTTATTTCTCTGGATTTCTTTTTTTTCTTTCTCTTCTTCATTCCTTCGACCATCACCACCTGTGGTATCTGGTTGGTTAGTCAACGAAGGAGTCGAGAGTTTCTCTCGAAAGCTGTCCGCTTATCTACGACTAAACGTGTGAGTTATAACAGACATCCTGAGAGAATCGGATGCACTGCTTAGTGCAACGAACGAACGCGCAAAACTTCGGGGATGAAGATAAGAGGGGAAAGTTTCGCGTGTTCCGGGGACGGGACGATTTGCCAGGGATTATTTCGACGGTAATCGAATCCATGAGACGAGATAAAATCGACGGAGGGAGGACGCGTTTAATTCCGTCTGGAATCGGACGCGTCGATGTTAGTTTGGGGGATTAACAATTTATTTGATCGCTGAACTTGCCGAGGAAACCAGCTCCCCGGTACGAGTTATGCGCCGTTCAACCGCGAAGAACTTTGGAAAACTTACGAGCTCGTGTAAGGAGATGCTACTGGGAATACGTTGAATTTGTAATTCTAGTCACGGGGAGAAATGAATCATATATTTGCGGAATATCGGAGTTACAGTCGCGATAGAAATCAGTTTAAACTTTCTGTACGAATCTTTCGATACTGCAAAGCTAGGGAAATCATTTTTCAATTTGATATACGTCACTCTTAGGGAAACTGTGAATTTTCACTGTCATTTTTAAACGATAATTGCAACAATCCTTTTCAAAATCCTTTCCAACGTGGAATAACAAATTTAGATATTTCGAATGTTGGCAAAAAGATCGATTTGTAAATGCACATTCACTATTTTTACACGTTCGTGTTTTATTTTCTCAGCTTTTGTCTGTAGTTTCTCCGGTAAGAATTCATTATTTCTGGCCGCGGTTAAGAAGCGACGGCAGGAAATTGTGCTTCTTGGTGTTACGAACTGTGGAGGCGCGTTGGTCACGAAGATAGGGTGAGGAAAGTTTGGTATCTCGAGGTCGCAGCCAGCGCGAAATTACTTCGCCAGTTTGTCCGTGACGCGGCCTCTCGCCGCGAAATCCCGCGGGACTTGAAATCCGCGTCGATAAGAACGGGAAATTAACGGTGAAACATCGGTCCTCCCCGCAGCTTCCCATCGAACCGATTGACTCGCCGGCGAAGAACACACATTGGCTAGTCTGCCAGCGTCAGGAACTCGTTCGAGGGGAAACCAACGGCGGAGGTAAACTTGGAGAATGTTTCGAAGGAATTGGATGATTTATAGACAGTCCGATTCATTTTCTTCTTACATTTAATTTTCCAACTTGTCATCTTCACTCAAGCTTTTAATATTCATGCGTTACAGTCTTTTCAGCTTTTTTTTTTTAGTCTCTTATTTAATTTTCAAACTTACCATCTTCGTTGGACATTTTAATATTCACACCCTACAATTTTAAAAATTTCTTTTAGTCCCCTATTTAATTTTCTAACTTACTTTCAGTTTTAGTAGTCTCTTATTTAATTTTCAAGCTTATCATCTTCGTTGGACCGTTGAATATTCACTCGATATAATCTTTTTAGTCGCCTTTAGTCTGTCTAGTATTTAAGCAAATTTGAGTGTTGCAATCTGTAGAAAAATGGTATTTAAAGTTGAGCTTGGGAAAACGAAACGCGTCCGAAACGAGTTAGAGCCGCCACCCTTGATGCTCGTTTCCTTTGGCCATCACGAAAGCGTTCTTATGCCGGAAGACAATGGGAGGATGTGACGTATCGCGTTTTCTAAAGGGAGAAAGAGCGAAAGAGAGAGGAAGAGAGTGTGAGTGGGCAATGATAATTGAGTGGAAGAGAGGCAAGGACAGTTTGAGTGGCTCTCTCACGGCACGAGGCACTTGGCCCTCCACTTATGTAATTGTGCTCGTAATCCCATCCACGTAACTTCGTTAACCGTGCTGAAGGAAAAACCACAGACCTCGCACACTCCTTCTCTCTCTCCCCCTGTCTCTCGTTTCACGTGAAACCAAAGCATCTCCTTCTTGTTGGGGGAGAAAAATACAGGTTGGCATGGGGTAATCTCGTAACGGCTGTTTCCTAATTTTCTGTTCGGTGTAGATTAAATTCATCAGCGGCGTCTAACTTTGTAATTTTCATTTGTCTCGAGTTGCACACTTTTTCTTTCGTCTACTGATCAGTTACCAAAATTAGCGAAAGTACTGTCGAATCTCGTCTAAAACCTCGTCGAGAAATTCTCCACAAGCAAATCGAGCGTATTCGAGCGCAACGTTAACTTCTTTACAGCGTGAATTTCGCGGAATAACGGGTAGATCCAAGACGGAACCCCTTAATTCCGCCACTTTAATTACTTAATTCCTCCTTTTCGCTCCTCTCCTCTCACGTACCCCGTACGTTTCAATTTCACGCCGATTGTGGCCGGTTGCTCGTTACTTGGCCCGAAATACCCATCTTTGTTCCCACCCGGAACCGAAAGATCCGGCAGGAAGTGGAGGAATAAAGCAGAGAAAACGTAATATCCCGAAGTGGTAGAGAAAATTCGAGACAAGTGAGGCTCGTCCAGACGCTTATTGCGACTCCTTTTTATCCCTTTCCCCCCTACCTACTCGTGCCACTTCCGTGCACACACTTGGCCCTTTAAACTTCCGGTCGGCCGAAGATTCCGCGATAAGTGGCCGAGGCCGGCTTAAACTCCGGTAATAAGTTCGGCAATAAGTTTCATGGAAAGTTTCCGGCCTGGACCACACTCTGACACGCTGTGGCCGCGAAAGAGTGGGACGGAGGAACGGAGAAACGAGGAATTCCAAGCGAAATTGCGAGCGTCCCGACGCCACCAATCCCGCAATAAGCTCTCGTTACACGTTAAGGAGGACACCTCTTTTTCTCGTCCCGAAACCAACCAGCCTTTGCTTTCTCTTTCACCCTCTTACACTTCCTCCTTCCTTCTCTCTCTCTCTTTTTCCGTCGCCTTTGGAAGGGGAGATTCATTGAATGGACAATTTCTCGCGACGCTTTCCTTCCACGGGAAATTATTTCTTCGCGCAGATCTTTTTTATTCCACGACGGCGTGAAGGCTCTTTGATTGCGAGTTTTGGACTTTTGGCTGGCCTGAACAGAGCCGCTCGTTTCGTCCCAACGGTGATTTTTGCTCGTTTCCACTCGAGTTCCTTTTCCCTTTTTCCCTTCGAGCAGGAAAAGGTGGAGATTTATGGGGAGGTGAGAAAAGGAACGACCAACGCCGGAGAATTATGGTTTTTTAATGAGCGCCGGTTAACGCGTGTTCGAGGAAGCCTCCTGTTTTTTACCAGATTCTCGCAGCTTTTTAAAAACCTTTGTTTTTTTTTTTTTTGTTTTTCTCGAGTGAACGAATAATCTCGGAAAAGGGGGAGTATCGAATATTTTAGTGGGTAACTATCTCAAGAAGGAGGATTATTAAAAATAGAATTCTTCTCCCCCCTGGTTATGGTTTATCAGGAATGAAAGTTACCTACTTATCTGCTTTCCCGCGAGCAGCCAAGTTTGCGTTATTAAATTTTCCGCGCGGAACTTTGAATCCCCTGTACTCCATTATTAAAAGTATCCTCTGGTTTTCTTGCATTTCATTAAGGAAACGTCGATAATCTCCGCGAACCGTTTCGTTCCAACCGAGAAATCGCCGATAAATGGAATATTTTTCGAGAGACATACGATACACAGGGTAGGGAATAATATGCCCGCGATTTTCAAAAGTTTCTCGAACCTGCACGCGTGATACGTTTAATTTGACCGATCGAAAGGGTGAAGCGGCCTCGCTGGCATTTTTTGTTTCACCTCGTGCCACTCGTCGACCAATCGAGCTGCAATAATTACCATCGACCTACATCATTAGCCTGTGGCCACAATTAGCGTTAGGTCGTTCGCGGTATCGCGAATTCCAATGGAACTGGATTTTCTGCCTTCGCGAAAAATTCCAACCACTCGAGTGGCACACATACACATACGTAAGTTATTCGCGCGTGAAAATTGTCCAGAGACGTTTCTGAATTTATTTATTCACCAACTCAAGATTGCGAAAGAAGAAGAGAGAGAAAACAATCTCACAGCTAATTTACTGAATTTCCTTTCTCGAGAAAAATTCTACCTAATCTTACTAGTCTAATTCAATTTATCCTATGAAAAACGAAACCAAGAGTTGCGTCAAAAAATTGCAAATTTTTTAAATACCCACGAAATAAATTAGGAATACTTTTCCCGCAGTTTTTCCTCCGTGACAAACTGATCGATACGTATTAGTGGTAAGTCGTGTCGGAACCGTTTCGTTCGAGTATAAAATATCAGGGACACGGTCTTATTCCGCGCAATTATTCCCTCTAAATACCGGTTATCTTTTCCACGCGCTGCACCGCCGGGCGGGCAGAAAATTCACGAACGGGGAAACCCCTCGGTAAACAAAATTATGCCAGTGAAGTCGGAAGGTTAGGTGGCAAGGGTCGGCTGGCAGCCTTGCGACGCCAGTTAACTTTTAATCAGATGCAAATTACGCGCTAATTACCGCGCGACCGTCGTATTAATTAGCCTGGCCTGCTTGGAAAAGTTCCTTAGCTCGTGCGAGCTTTTCCTGGACATCCGCTGTTTCGTTTCTTCCGCAATCGGCTTTCACGGTGAAAAAAGCACCGTTTTCTCTCTCGCACGTTCTCCATTACAAAAGAATTATCTACGCAAATTATAGCTTGTGCAGTTTTCTTTTATAGCTATTGTTCCGCGGCATACCCACGAGATCTTGGCCTTCCCTTTGTCATGATTTTGACCGTATTGAATAGCACGGGTGGGTAGCAATTTGTACAAGGGACAACATCCGAAGTGCAAATTGCAAGCACGTTTATGACACGCAAGCCAGTAAAGTCGTTTTTGAGAGTCGCTTTATTTTTATCCTGCAATTGTATTTCTTCGAGTTTCTTCGTCCTCGACGACTAATTGCATGTGCCATAAACGTGAATTTCCAAAGGGTCATCGAGACCGGGCCCAGTGACCGTCGACCAGGTCAAGCCGCAGGATCCAAGCCAAATTTCCCACATAACGTCTTCCACCTCCCCTGACACCACCTCTCCTGCCTGTGTCGGCGGATCTATCACCTGATTGGTAAAAATACGTACCAATCAGGTGACAAGACCGGCTCACGAATTTCCTTCGACGCAGAAATTCGTGAGGCAGTTCAGTTCACCATCAGACCGCAAAGAGAAACATCATAATCTCTTGTTCAACGCACACCAATCCATCTTTCAACTGCTTCATTAAAATAGTCTACTACATTATTTCTTCATTATCACACCCCTAATATCCTTATAGCCTTAAACAGTCGTAAGGACATACGCGAGCATAGACAAACGCGTATTCTCGTCAGAAACAGCTATTTTATCTCTGCACTTTTTCTACTTCTCATCGGAAGATTCTCGAGCTGAGAAAACAGTTGCGAATCCTCTCAGTTGAGGGTTAAAAGATTCAGCGATGAAAAATTGAATACTTGTTACTTTTGGCAATCTTCTCTGGGAAGATCGAAAGTTCTCCAAGCTGATTTTTGCACCTAAGTAGACTTTATACGTGGGAAAATGAAGATCTTCCGCTTTCTCTGAAGTAAACGTTCCCTTCCAAACTGTCTTAAAAATTCTCTCCTTTCACGATTTATTTTTAATCGAACGAAACGTCTTCTAGAAATATGAAACGAATCCTCTCCGCGTGTAGTAACGTGTTTTCTCCCGGTACTTCCACTCTTGCAACCTTTCCAGCGTTTTTGTATTCGTCGATAAAGCCTCGCGATAAAACGCTGAACTTCTTCACTGACATTTCACGCGAGGAACGATAAACTCGACGAATTAAAACCCTTCTTCCGCCTTTCAACAGCTTCGAATCGGACTTTGCCCCGATAAATGCAGACGAACGCTTCCGGTTATGGATCGCAGTTGTTGCCTCGTAAAATCTACGCGTGAATCGCCGAAGAACGTTCGATCGAGGAAATGTTCTCGAGATATTTCGTTATTCCCTCCGGTTGCTGTTTTTCACATGTTTCCCACAAATCTAGTGCCTTCTATCGATAAGGAAGATTATTTCACCGCGAATAAATATCGCGTACACGCGATTAATTGAGAGATTTCGTCGGAAGTAGCGTTATCACGGTGATTAATCTCGGTCTATAGGCAATTAATTTTACACTCGGCAGCTCTGATTACCCTAAACGAGCTAATAATACAACGTTCGATTTGTAATCACCGGAGGAGCACCGTGGAAAAAGTTACAGCATAGGTGATATACGGTGTTAATTGAAATGATATTTTGCGGGAAGTTTGCTGATAAAGCGAATCGTAATACGAATTTCCAGGCGAACTAACGCGAGGCTAATGCATTTCGGTATTCCGCGGAATTTTAATTCGCAACTTTGCAAAAGTTTCGAATGTAGGACAGAGGGAACATGCGAAAAGTTGACCAAGTATCGTGATTCCGGATAATCTTGTTCAAAATTAGCCGGTGAGATGAGAATTCTTCGGCGAGAATCATCGGTGCTTTCTCACAAATTTTCAGTCTTCGAGGATAATATTATTATTATCGAAAATTTCCGGGAAGAGTAATTGTTTCGATTCGACGGATGTTTCTTCGCCGTTATTTACATCCCCATCGAGACACAGCGGCGTGCACACTCGTTCGACGTCACTACATCCGTGGAATCCAGGCTTCCTGTACCTCAGCCATATTCCGCAAGAAAAGGTGCACACGTACGGGAAGGATTCCCCGGGGACGTCTTTTTTATTTATCGCCGTCGACTTGCACGATAGAACCGGGAATAGTTGGAAAGAAGGGGCAAAGAGAGAGGGAGAGACAGTTTCTTCTGTCTCTACCTATACTGTTTCTCCATAGCCAGTTGTGTTTTCTCGGGAAATCGTCTCCTTTTAAATTCCCACATCCCGCGGTGCTGCTTGTGTGAAGGAATCGTACGTGCTGTGTGGCCTTGAACGAGAAAAGATATTCGTAGAGGAACAAAGGGAAAAATCGGAGCAAGAGGAATTCTCCTTCTGTGCTGTCTCGATTTAATTCGATCGTGAGATCGTGGCGGAAATTTGAACGTTCGTAATTTCAAGTGTCTCGCGGTAGAATTGTGTTGTGAAGGTAATTTAGGGTATTGTGTCTAATCGTGGAAAACGTAGCCTCCAGGGAAGTGATTGAAACATTGTCAGCAAAGTATCGAAAGTTGTAGGCCACTTTCTCTTCTCTCTGTTTTCGCCTAATCTTCTCGGCACGTGCAGGTATAACACTATTATCGGCGAGTCTCAACGACGCCCTTCGACCAGGTAAAACGAGAAATTTCCCATGGGTTTCGTGATCGAATGGGAGTATCGCTTAATAGCGTTGCCACGTGAACGTTCTATATTCCGCCTTGTCTCACTCTATTCGACAAAGAAATACAAAATTGCGCTAACGATTGTGTCAATTTTTGCTCGCAGGTTTCCGCGAGAACAGCAAACTCTCCCCAACCATTTCTACTTCACCGACTTCGAGAGGCATACAGCTGAGATCGCGGCGTTCCACTTGGACAGGTAATCGAGTGTTCTATTTTTCATCGGTTTTATTAAAAAAAAAAATGAAAAAAAACGAACGAGTAAAAACACCGTATAGCCCCCTTCTTCTTCGATAACTCAACGTCTCCCTCTGTACAGTTTCTTTTTCCTTCTTCACGTGGGGTCAAATCGAGCGATTTGCTTTTCCAGACTGCTCGGATTCCGCAGAGCAATGCCAGTCACTGGTCGAACGTTGAACCTAACGACGGAGATTTATCAGATCGCCGACGGCGAGCTGCTGAAGACGTTCTTCGTCAGCCCCGCCGGTAATATCTGCTTCCACGGCAAGTGCAGTTATTACTGCGATACGGCGCACGCGATTTGCGGAAATCCGGACACCCTCGAAGGCAGCTTCGCCGCGTTTCTACCGGATAAATCGTTCGTGGCGAGGAAAGCATGGCGACATCCGTGGCGCAGGAGCTATCACAAGAGGAAGAAGGCTCAATGGGAGCACGGTGAGATTTCTTTTCGATCGTAATTTTGGCTGAACAGTAATGAAATTAGATTTTTACAGATGTTTCTTGTTTAAATTTTCACGATTGATATTTATAATAATACTACCGGTTAATTGGATATACCGAGTACGGTATTAACACATTAGTCATTCAGGGTTTTCACTTGAATACGGATGACGCGAAAATTGAGATTTTCGCATATCTGAAATAAATTTATAAAACGCTCGAAATGGTTCAATCCGTTAATTGGATATACCGAGTACGGTATTAACACATTAGTCATTCAGGGTTTTCACTTGAATACGTATGACGCGAAAATTGAGATTTTCGCATATCTGAAATAAATTTATAAAATGCTCGAAATGGTTCAATCTCTTGTAGCGTGTAACTAGTGCGCGCCAATAGAGAGTAAGTCACACCTAGACCCGCGCCAATAGCAAATAATATTAACACGCACCAATAGGGTGCGAGCGTAATTAGTAAATTAGGTACCTGAAGCGTGTACCGATAGGGCACTCTCCACGATCCGCGCACAGGAAAAGGGCGTATATAAGGACGCCCGAAAAATGGCAAAACAGGTAGTCCGGGACAGCGAACTGAGGAAACCCTGTACTCGATTTAACTAAACATTTAAACCAGCGAACTCTGTAACGACGAATAAATCTTGTTCAACACAACATTGCACGCTTACGATTGGTGTGTGGTTTGAGGACCAACGAACCCACACTGTCTTCAGAAACGCCGTAACAGATGTTGATATTATTATTAATATTAATTATTGTTTTGTGTTTTCCAGCGTAACGCGATCGAAAGAAAAGACGCAAAATCGCCCCAACTTCAATCTGTTAATATTCTTCCGGAGATTACTTACAAATATAAAAAATAAATGCACATTCTCCAGTAACAAAAATGATTTAAAATATCTTACTGTACATAAAATCAACTTTAAGTACACGTTAAAATTATTATTATCATCATTTCACATAGGGAGTAGCAAATTACATTTTACACTGGTCGACAGAAATATTTATATTCCTCGAATGAAATATAGTAAAAATATTCCGATATGGTGAAATACAATTACGGTTTAACCGGAAAAATACGTTGGAATTTTTCATAGAGCATGTTCAGTACGTAGCAAGAAATATGCCCTTTATAATGCATTTTGTTTGAAGTCGATACGTCCATTAGTTTCCGAAATATACGGCCCGATAGCGTAGCGCTCAAGATGAATGGCGGTCCAAGTTCCAGGAAAACGCCGTGACCCAGTTTCTTTTCCAGGAATTACGTACGCACGATTAGTAGTAGTAGTACTAGTAGTACAAAAAAACGCTGAATCAACGTCTGTCACTGACCGCTGCACAGGTGTTGGGTTTGGGGTAGGTCAGCGCGTGAGAGCGAGCGAGACAGAGATAGGCGTGTTATTAAAAATCGTACTCGTCTTCGCACGACGATATCTCGCGAACCAGACGTCGTATCTCGACGAAACAAAAACTGGTTTTAAAAGGAAGGTTCGCTGATTCTTACGGACCCACGTTTCTGCATATATCTTTTATAATTTTCGAGTTACACTTGTTCAAAGTTTTAGCAATATTTAATACACGTTTCGAGCGATCGTGCTGTTTTTCAGTTAAAAACGATTGTAGCAGATTTCGTTCGACAGTTTTCATACTGCGGATAGTAGCTGAAAATTGATATTTAGAAGTTCGAAGAAGCTTCTGTTGGCGAAGAGTACATTTTCGTGTGCAGCTCGTTGAATATTTGATCGCTCGGCGCTTTGAAAATTTAAAAGCTTGCGTAGCCCTCATAATCCATGCATAACTTGGTTGCATAATCCATCGGGCATCAAGGTTTCACGTATAGATGAAAAAAAGAGGGAAGGAAAAAAGAACACACGGTAACTTTTAAAAGTACTCGACGTTGAAACTTTTACGTATCGTGTCTCGATGTTTCGTAATATCGCCGTTGCACTTTGTACGAGACAACGTGGCTACATTTTCATCGGCAAAATTCATGGGAGAACGGAACTTCTGTTACGGGAAGTACGAAATATATAGAGAAATGTTTTTAATATTTTCGTTTCCTCAGACTCCGACTATTGTTCCTTCGTGAAGGAGATTCCGCCGTACAACGAGGGTCGAAGGTTACTCGATTTGATGGACATGGCTGTCCTGGACTTCCTCATGGGGAATATGGACAGACACCATTACGAAACCTTCAAGATCTTCGGGAACAACACGTTTCCTCTACACTTGGATCACGGCAGGGGCTTTGGCAGACCCTTCTACGACGAGATCTCCATTCTAGCCCCAATTCTACAGTGTTGCATGATCAGACAGAGCACTCTGAACACCCTTCTCAAGTAAGTTCTTTCTCCGTATCCCCGAGGAATTTTTTCCTAATTGATTTTCACAGTTTTCTCCGACTGTTCACCGGGTGTCTCGGACTTATCGTCTTATTTAAACGTATCCGCCCCAAAAATACACGAAATGTCAGTGAAAGTGCGTTGAAACCATATTTTTCCTAAGGTTCCACCGTTTCAATTTTTAACAAAATTCGGTCGTTTAATTAATTATTCGTCCAGGACATCGAATTTTTTAACATTAGGTTTACGGGACACGTGATTTTCGCGCATTTCGAATTTCACAAGGAAAATTGCATTTCTCTCCGTTTCGTAATCGCATAATTTCCTTTCTAAATTAATCCTCGGAAGGCGAATGGTTTTAGGCGAATGCAGGGTCATTTTGACCCATAGCAAAGTTTCTATTGTACACGGGTTCCAAGAATTTGCATACTTTCATCTATACATATTTTACATTTCTCTTGGTTATTTACATTGGACACATAAAATACGTGTACTTCCTGTACCAAGCGTGACTTTATCGCTGTTGAGTCAAAACGACCCTGCATTCGTCGTACGAGGGTTAGTAGTGTATAATATGTCGTCTTTAAATTTTTTAAATTGTTGTTTAAAGAAAACCTGCGGTGTCGTGTACAAGAAATATCCGTAAACCTAGCGTTAATAACGATACAATTTCGATCGCACGCACACACACACACACACACGTTCCCGTGCATTTTTCACCAGGCAAAAATATAGCAGGAAAAATAAACGAAAGCGTAAAGAATGAAGGAAACGACGTAGAGAGAATCGAGCAGTGTGCGGCTGACCGGAGAGACCACCATCGGTGTGGAATTCAATCTGCGAAACGGTTCAATTTTTATCGAGACAGTGGCAGGTGTCGTGCACCGTCCAGAGAAATACACGAAGAAGTTATCTACGAGAGAAAGTTGAACTTAGGCGGCTCGTAACGACAGCTTAAGCAGCGGTGTCGAACAAATCGATAATCGGTCTTTCAGGATCGGTCGTGCATCGTTCGCAATACACACGCCGTCGCGATACGTTGTACCTGGAACATGGAATACGTGTACGTGTGTGTGTGTGTATATATAGGTACGCGTGTCGACGAAATCCAGCTCTGTTGGAATTTATCGCGCCCGTAAAAAGCCTCGTCCCCGTGAATCCGCATCAAAGCGGAGATTCACGAGCGACGCTAGCGACGGCCAATTCTGGTAAAACGTTTCACTCCGAAATCCGCCTTATCCAGCCCCGAGGGCCACGGCTCGTAAAGTTTTCCCTCCGTTTTTCGAAATCCGCCGAGAGGCCAGGCCGTCCGGGGACCAACGCTCTGAATTGTAAATTCCCGACCCAGATCGATCCGCTCCGCCAAAACGAAACCGAACCCTCGATACAATCACCGCCGCAAACGTGTGGAATTAGAACGATAGGAAAGATCGACGAGATCTCTCGTTTCAGAACTGTGTGTGTGTGTGTCGCACTGTACGTTACGATCTAGGGAAATTAATAGGGGAAAGTGTGACTTACGAGTCGAACTGCTGGAAACGATGTGTGGAAATTGAAAGGACAAGCTTCGAGGGGTTTTTCTTTTTTTTAGGGGGGGGGCGAGAGAAAAGGGATTTGGGAACGTCAGCAACTTGTTGAAGGAATTATAAGATTCTGGAGGAAATGTTTTGGTACGATGTGTAACGAAGTTCTTTCTTTTTTTGTGGTGAAATGAAAGATACGATAAGTGATTTGTATACGATTTATTTTTCTGGCTATGCATCTAAGTCTCGGCTATTTACTGTTTTAGTACTGTATTAAGTAAGAGCAGCTGATGTACTGCAGATCGATTAAATTTGGCAATCTTTAGTTTTACGAATTAAATCGAAAATTCTTCCATCCGATGTGACGGTTTTTATCAGATCTTCGCCGAAATCTGCGGCACGAAACTGACTCGTTATTACACGACAAGGGGTTGAAATATCAAAATTTACGAATTTGTCAATTTTTTTAATTTTAATTAAATTTTTCGAGACGTTGTTTCGCGGTATTGTCCAACATGAAATTGTCAAAAATCATAAAATTGCATTGAGAACGATACATCTGCTCGGTACTGTACACGGAACACGTTTATTAGAGCGAAGTTTTCCAAGTTTCCCTGTCAGAAATGCTCAGATCGCGGCACAATGGGGAAATCGAATTTCCACTTGTAATAGATCGAAGTAATTCGAACAATAGGGGCGAATTGAACGCGGAAAATCGATAGTTTTGCCACGACAATGAGTTTGATCGGCGGTGCACTCGCGATTATTACCAGGGAAGATCGCCAGCTCGAGAGTGTCTTCTTCAATGAAATCGTGCTGGTCGTTGAAAGCGCATTAAAGAAGCCCACACGCTGTCCATTAAACCTGATATTATAGGATAATTGCATCCTGTGGCTACTACATCGCAGCTACTTCATCGTGTCAGTCATGGTTGCTTCTTTCATTATGACTTCGTTTTCATTCAGTTTACCATTCAACCAGCTCTCTTCTTCTTTTACACCGCGAGGCAATTAACTTTACAAATTGATATAATCGTTAATTAGCCTGGAATAAAGTATGTTCGTGGTCGTGTTCTTTCTGTTATTAAACAAGAATTTTCTTTTTTCTCTTCTCATGCGTAATGGTAAGTTAAATTCAAAGAGGAAGCTTCGCGGAGAGATAATGAAATGCGATACGTAATTGGAGATATTTTATGTTATTCGTGTGTCGGTGAGAAAAAAAAGATCGAACGAGATCGTTTTTAATTACCGTACAGTGTTATTAAATGCGATAAATCGAGAAGACGGAATTTCTGTGGGGGTTAGCGATTAGGTAAATAGAAGGGAACGTCGTTGTAGGATCATCAATATCTGGCTCGGAGACCATAATCGTTGAAATGGTATAAAAGCTATTCGATCAAGTCTTTATCCTTCTCTCGGCAGGGAGCAGCGTGCTTTCCTACGTTCCCCTGTGACATCGAGAAGTAGTCAGCCAGAAAAATACTTTTATCCGCGCGCTTCTTCGGGAATGTGTCCTTAAGTATACATATAAGTCCGTATGTACGGGGTGTCCTGTCAGGAAACCATTATACCGTTCTATTACGACCACCCAGCCAACTTTTCCTTCGCCCGACCTTTCTTTACTCAACTTCCATTCACTTTTCCACTTGTACGCAGAAGAAATAAAATACACGATTTTCGAATTCCTTTATTAGAGAAAAAGAAGAAAATTCTTTTATCTTAAACGTCTGAAACACTAAAAAGAAATCGCTTAATATTACGAAAAGAGACGAATATCTCTTATCTCTTCCGAAACGAGAGATCGCGATATTTCAGTTTCATCTGTGAAGCATGTAAATCTTACAGAACCATCCAACAACTATAAACAGCATCCGCGACACGTCGATACTTTATTCATTGCCTGTTCATTGCTACAGTAGATTTACAGTGTATGGCAGTAAAGAAATCTGTACGAAAAAGAGGATTTCCCAAGAGTCTACGAGATACTCGGAAGAAATTTCCATAGCTGTGGAAATAATCATTTCTTCTTCAACTTCGAACCGAAGAAACTGTCTGACGAAAAATATGGCGCGAAGCTCCCGCTGATGGACGATAAGACACGTGTCTTACCAGCTCGGCAAACTTCTAATTACGAGTATTTGCATTTTTATTGAAAAATTCCTGTCGCCTCTCGCGCCACCTCACTGATCAATTTGCCGTACAGAGGGACGGCGAGAGAGAGAGAGAGAGAGGTAGGGTCACGTTTTTTAATCTTTCGAGTCCCGACGACTTCTGCGCCCGTGGATTTGCATGTTTATTAAAAACGATCGAGTTACTTTGATTCTGTGAATATTGAAAAAATTTTCAAGGCTCTCGATCCGGGGCTCTCGGCGTTCTCCAAAGAGGATTTTAATTGACAGACCATATGCAAATTGTTAACCCGTGCCGAAAATGTAAATTCAGACGCTGCTCCGGCAGATTTATCTTCGAGATTTTCTTTCGAGCATTTTGGGACTCCCATAAGGATTTTCAAACATTCTCTCCGTCTCTTCGTCGCGAATTTTCTCTCCTTACTGTCTGCTGTTTTATTCGATACGATATTTCGTTTCTGCGAGGTTTACTTGGGCTTGTGACTCAGGTTCGAGGAATGTGTTTAGAACGAAATAATTGTAGTTTCTTTCTAATCTAGCTAAACTGATTTTAGAGCGTTATTCGACGCTGATTGTCGTTCCATATTCTTGGTTTTTTTTAGTATGCACTCTTTAAAGTTGAAACTAACTTAAAATTAACGCGCTTCGTCGAGTTACTCCTGCAAATATTTTCTTTCTTAGGCTTAGGCTGTCCTTATCTGTATCCACAAACTAGTCACCAACTTTTATCATTACTCACACTGGACTCTCAACTTTCTAGCTCTCCTCTCAACTCTCCTACACAGTCATAATCCAAATCTAATCTTCCTCGCACCCTTAAATAGCCCTATTTTTCCATCCTCGATTCACTCTCTTCTACCCAACGTCGATCTTTAATTTCTCCGATTTAAGTGTTACCCGAATGCCTGTCCTCTGTTTCGAGAAATTCAGGCAAAACCGGGCATCACAAAAACGCTCGCGATCCTACATTGTTTACCTTTCTTATAAGAATTTTTAATAATACGCTCTTATTAACCCTTTCATTGCTACTGGCGCCTATAGGCGTTTCGAAAATTTGCTCGCACTGCACTGTTGCAGCCTTTCGGTGCACTTTCACCTTAATTTTATCCTTACGCACTTTCGCCTTAATTTATAAACCGAATTCTAAAACAGTGCGGCCAAAACAACAAATTTTGCAGCCGTGGTTCAAAATTGACCGTCTGCCACACACGTTACGCGTTAAATCTGCCGCGGCGAAAGAGTTAAATAACGATCTACGCGTAGGATTTAGCGCTGAACAACAGTGCTCTGTATCATTTTACATAAAAAATTCTCTGTTCGAAAATCATTTTCTCCATTCGTCAAGACAACGTATAGTTGGGGCCACGATATAGCGAGGTCGTAAATTAAACTCTCAAGAATCGGCACCGATTGATGTTGCGGCACTCAAGGCCGTGTGTTGCAGTCTGTTTGAGGGTTCCAACAATAAACGAATGGTAGCATATGATTTGGTACTTCAAGTAGAAAATGGTATTTCATTTACAAATGGAAAATATGTTAATATTAAGCTACACAATCTTTTTGCACTTTCTATCTGTATATAACACGAGTAGATAAACTAAGATGCTAAAGACATCAATAAGACCTTTACCTGTAACCGTACTTCCAAAAGCGGCTTCCCCCAGAGGGAGAAACCCTAATTTGTCCTAGCTGCATGCAGTTTTCAGTAAGTATATTAGAATCAGTTGACTTTCGCTGGATACAAGAATTCTTCGTACGGTCCTGACAATGGTTTCAAGTACTTATCTGCTCGTATCTCTGTCAATTTTCGGGTCCCAGCAGCTAAAACATGTTTACTTTGACGTCTGACCGATTTTACGACCTCGTGGCTAATTTTCGGGTCCCGGCAGCTAAAACATGTTTACTTTGACGTCTGACCGATTTTACGACCTCGTGGCCCCGACTATAAGTATATTTCTTTCTTCTCTTCCAGGTTTCACAACGGACCAGTGCCCCTCAGCCTAGCGATACGAAAAAGCATGGCGAGGGACCCCGTGGCTCCCGTTCTATGGAAACCACATCTAGCAGCCTTGGACAGAAGGGTGCGCGTGGTCCTTCAAGCGATCAGAGACTGCGTGAATCGCGAGGATTCGAGTCAAGTGGTGCACGAGAAAACCGAAGACACAGCATCCTAGCCCCTTCGTAGTGGCCGCTTAGTGAAACGAACGTTCAGAGTGCTGATAGAGAAAAAACGAAACTGACACTGTTCACTGTAAAAATAAACGTGTAAAAAGGCGTGTGTAAAATATGAAAGAGTCAACGACGAGTGGGTTTGAATGTCGATAGAATGGAACAATGGTATATATTTTATGGTTCTAGGGGAATTTTTATTTGTTTCTTCTTCCTCTTTTGGAAATATCTTTTATTCGTTGTTTATTCGAACGAGGATCGATAAACTCGATCTCTGGTTTCGTTAGATTTTCACCAAATTGTTACCTGTTTTGTTCTTTTTCTTGTCAAGCAGGATATTCTCCTTCTATGCTTTATTTTTACTACTTAGACTTGTACAAAAGAGAGGCCTGTACATAGTGTATGTATCATACGAAAACGGCACACGAAGGAAAAGAGGTTTTTAACAATCAGACGTTCGGGAGAAACCGCGCCCTGCTTTTTGTGTATATAAAAATCGTAAGAAAAAAGAAACAGAGCAAAGGAACGTCGCTTTTCAGGGCCAGAACATTTTCGAAATGACGTTTCGTCGTGAAAGAGAAACGAGGAGAAACAGCGAGGCGTGTTGCTGTATCGACTGATTCCCTCCGAAGAAGGATCCATAGATCGTTCCTCGACGATGAAACTTATCGAAAGCTCGCGATTTATCGCGCGAGCAGATCGTTTTCCCGGCGAGACGAGCGATTTTCTCAGCCACAGTTCCTCGCGATAACACGATCCACTTATTGCTCGACGATCTAGCGTCAGATTTTTTTACGAGAATCCACTTTTCACCGGCGAATAATATCGCCACTGCGTGTGGACGAGCATCGTGCGTGTGCGTGCGAGGTGTCTTTTTTGTAAAGTGTGTGCTTTTCATACGCATGTAAAGAGTACCTCTGTGAACATTTTTTCAAAATGCACCCGGTAACTCGTAAATGTCTTTTTTTTTTTCTTTTTGTCTGGGCAATGAGGAGAATGAAGAACTCTGTTAAAGAATTTTTTTCGTGTACTTCAAAACCCTCTCCTTTTTTAATTTCATTTTTGTTTCTATTTTTCAGACTAGCGAGACTAGAATTTTCTTAATGTCGTTAATTTCTGTTACGGTAGAGCTACTCGTGAGACTTTATTTTTCTTCCCAGCCATTTACCTCCGACATAGTGAGGTAAATATAAAAGAAAGAACCGATCGGAACTAATTTCGCTCAATTTAATATTGTAATTTCTTGGGCTGTTACGAAACTTTTGTCCAGAACCCTCAAATATCGCGTTGAACTTTCCTGGCTTAATAACATTACCGGTCAAACTTCGCCTCGTTTTTCTTCCAGTTTTCAGTCAAAGGTAAGTACACGGAAGCGGGGAATTCTGAACGAGGGAATTTTATGCGATTAAATACTTCATTTCTCATGCTTTGCAGCGCCAAACTCTCGGTTGTGAAGTGAATTTCCAACTTGGTAGAAAAAAAAAAGGAAACAGTCGAAGCAAAGGAAAGGAAGAATTGTTGGTTAACTCGATCCGAGTAGCAGATTTTCAGAATAATTCACGCGTGGATTAAAGTGTGTTGCCAATATTCCGGTGTTCGACGAATGGAAAAACAGAGGAGAGAAAGAGTTGTGAAACAAAGGAACACGATGGAGAAAAGGAGGAAATTTTTCGCGGAGTTTCATTAAGCAGGAAAGTTGAAAGATTCAGCAGGTCCTTTAATTACGTCGCGCGCCAGAATTTAAAAGTTTCCAAACTACTATTCGCGGCTGCTTTTCATTATAACCATCGTTCCCTGGGAGCGTTTTGTTTTCGAGCTGCGCCAGGATTCGATCCATCTTCGAATCTCTCCTGCGTGTCTCCCGTCGTAGAATTGTTCAAACAGTTTTTAACTTGTTTCAATCTTGAAAAAGATTCGTCGACAATGTGTCGTTCTTGGAATAATCGACGTGGAATTTGTAAAATAATTGTCACTCGTTGGAGTACCGGAGAATTCAGGTTCCCTTGGGAATTTTTGAACGCGAAGGTACGGTGAAATAGTAAAAAATGTCGAATTAATAGATTAATCGTGGAGAAGCTGGATTTCCCTGGTATTTCTCGCAAGATCGTCGGATACACGCGCCGACTCTCGTGTGTAAAGTTCTACGAAACTGGCGTTTTATCCGCGACGTTGGTACCCTTATTCCACAGTCGGAACTTCCCTTCCCATGAGAAACTTTTCGTCTTCACGTGGAAAGGTAAACGGGGAATTTTCGCGGAAGATCAATAAGACCGCGCGAACGGGACGCTGTTCGCTCGAAACTTTCCATTTCCAGCGCCAACTGTGCATTTAATCACGGTATACTTACGCGAACGAATTATTAGATACTCGCCTAGGAAATTCTGTTTCCTTCAATCTCTCGGTTGCTCGTTAATTTTCAGCGAAACTTCAACTTTGAACAAAAAGAAAAATGAAATATAGAATTTGCCGGAGGAATTGCTTAGAATTTCGCGACGGCGAGAGATGGTTAAAAAGAGTCGAGCAATTGTGAAAGTTACAGGTGAATATGTTAATTGGTAACGATAATAACGTGATATATTGACGATCGAAATTGCAGAATCGGTGTTATAATAATTTCGACAGAGTCTGTCACACGTATAATAGAATCTCTGTGATTATTAATGAACTACAATTACTGTTCCAATTAATTTACAGGTATAATAGGTGAATACTGTCAACTGTGATGCTTCACTCGATCCTGCGCTCAATTCTACGCGCAGATCTACGCGTGTCTGAATAAATAACGACGATATTCTGGAAAGAAAATAATTCGGAAGAAGAGCGTGAACAATGGAATTACAATGGAAAAACAATCGTCTGTGTGGCAAGAGAGAGAGAGAGAGAGAGAGGGAGAGAGGCCCGCCGTGGGAACTGGAGATTCCAATCAATCTTGATAGTCGTCTTAGGCGGCTTTAGCAAATGGTTCCTGTAACCGACAGGAGCGTAACACGATCTGAATCCCCCTTTGCAAGATGTGGAACCAGTTGCTGCCGACACAGGGGAGGGTTGGCAAGGATATATCCTGTTAATTACGCAATCTCGGCTTTGCCTATGACGTTAGACGTCCTGGCCAGGATGTCTGTTTCCTGACATCTGAAATTTCTCATGCAGACGAATGTAGAAACGGTGGCTTGATTCCACGCCACTCGTCGTTCCGATGTGCCTGTACAGAGAAACGGCTAAACAAACGAGTCCTTCTTTTACATTCTTTTCTTTTTTATGTTAGGTGATACCTGGTGAGTTATAGTTTAGCGGTGATTTTTAGTTTTCTTGAATGGTTTCTCTGGTTACTGGAATTGGAGAGTTTCGTGCACTTTTATTTTCACTCGAGGGAAATGGAGAGTCGTTGTAATTATGATTTCGAGATTTAGGAGATTGAAGGAATAATGGGTTTGAGAAGTGAATAAAAATTCTATTATTGTGGGATCAATTCGTCGGGGAAAAAAGTATACACTGTCGCATGGCAAGTTCCGAGCCTCGGCGCGCTACCCTCAACTGCCTTTTTTCGGGGCTCGCGTGCCTCTTCTACTTTTCGCTCACGCTCGCACTCACGCGTGTCGGACTCGATCGCCGGCGGATCAGTCACCACAGTATGCTTCAGAAGTGAGTAAAAATTCGCTAAATATTGGCAAAAATGCATAATATGCTTGAAAATTGAACGAAACTTCGCTAAAAGTTGGCGAAAATGTAAATAGCACGCAGTACGCTTGAAAATTGAAAAAGAAATGACAGAAAGATCCCGAAATAAGGTGAAAGGAGGCCATCCGAAAAATCTAGGAAGAAACGTGCGATTATTTCGAAGGCGAGCAAATAGATACGGCCGAATTTTTGAACCGAGTACCACGGCAGTTAATGACGGCGCTTTGTTCCGTCGGAAGTAATTATTTGCAAGGCGTGGTTGTATCGCCAGAATCCCACTGGAGATGAAAGTTTCCGAAAGGCCAACGAGATAGAGAGAAAGATCCTCCTCGATTTTCCGAAAGTTTTCAACGCCCAGTGTCGCGTAGAAATTCGCCAACTTTCAAACCGGAAGTGAAACCCTTCGAAACAAGTCACCGTGACTTTCGCAAAATGATCTGGTGTATGTGTTTACTTCGTACAATGTAATACAAGATCATGCGAGCTGATATCTTCGAAACTTCGTGTCTGCTCGATGCTCGACCAAATCTACTTAACGCTTCCTCCTCTTGTTCCCATTGATCAGGCATAGAAATGAGATCTTCCCGATTTTTGAGTGCAATAATTGTACCCAAATAATTATTAAAGTTTTATTTAAAAAGAAAAAGCTGAAATAATTTCCATTGTTCTCGACGACCTTTTGCCATTTTTCTGCCAGCTTGCGAATATCATAGAAACTCGGTGCCTTTGGATCAATTATGCGAATCCAGTCGAAAAGAATTCATTTCTACGTTTTAACGCTTCTCGAGCGAAATTTCGGAAACGTTTCTCACTCTCTCGGAAGTTCAATCAGAGAAAGAGTAATATTTTGATTTGGAGAGGGGACGAAAGTTCGTTGGGAGTATCGTCGAGCGAGATAATTGCGAGTGGCATATTTTGAAGATTTCAAAGGAGTCTGAGATCGTCAACAGGATTTGTTTACCAGCCCGAGCTTTCCGTTGCTGTCTGGTGGAAAAGTTTCCGGTGTCTTTTGTTCGAAAATCGCCGGATAATTCGGTGTATTTTCGTGGCATGACGAGCTGAAATTGGCGGATCAATCGATCAGCGGAGAGAAAAAGCTGTGAATTTTCCAACAGGAGACAACACGCTCACAAAGCCGCAGAGAATATTTTCTCGAGGTTTTCCCGTTGGACAACTTTCAATGGAAATTCCCCTATCGAAATCTTCTCGGTTGAACAAACTAAACGCTCGAATTTCTAAATGCACAGATAACTTCGTCCATCGATTATTTATTTTTCTTTCTTTCCTCGCAGGCAAAATGATTCGAAGTTTCGATGTTTTCACGTTGAATATTCGAAGAGAGAAAGTTGTGTCGAGAGAAGATCTACAACTGTGCATGGTCGAATGGTGTTGTTGACTGCTGGACCATCTCGAGCGGATTCGCTGCTAGACTTTCCTCTTCCCTTTGGCCAAGCAGAAATTTATATCACCGCGAGGGGAGAGAAGCGAAAGAGAAGACAGCGAAAAGTTGCGGGACCAACGTTTCTTTTCCGCTGGAAGAAGAAAGTTGAGAACGTCGTCGAAGATCACAAAGGGACGAGGCGTTCAGGGTTGATTTATCGGGGAGAGACGAAAAACTCACGGTCGAATGCGCCCTGATAAACATTATCCACGTTTCTCTTCTGCTTCCTCTTTCGTTCGTGCTTCCAGTCTCTCCCTCGTTCAATTTTTAATCCCACCGAAATTTCCACCGTTTTCTCCTCTCGAGTGAGAAACGACAGTCCGAAGATACGATTTAGGCTCGCTGGAGGGAACGTTGTCTCGTTAATTGCCTGGCGATCGAAGGACAGGACCAACAGGATGAAAATTTCAAAGGAGAAGAAGAACGTTCGTCTTTTAATTTTTCACACGATTGCTTTGTCGGAATCAACGGTGAAATGTATAGTTGGGGCCACGGTATAGCGAGGTCGTAAATTAAACTCTCAAGAATCGGCACCGATTGATGTTGCGGCACTCAAGGCCGTGTGTTGCAGTCTGTTTGAGGGTTCCAACAATAAACGAATGGTAGCATATGATTTGGTACTTCAAGTAGAAAATGGTATTTCATTTACAAATGGAAACTTTCTATCTGTATATAACACGAGTAGATAAACTAAGATGCTAAAGACATCAATAAGACCTTTACCTGTAACCGTATTTCCAAAAGCGGCTTCGCCCAGAGGGAGAAACCCCAATTTGTCCTAGCTGCATGCAGTTTTCAGTAAGTATATTAGAATCAGTTGACTTTCGCTGGATACAAGAATTCTTCGTACGGTCCTGACAAT